CCTCTCTCTCTTTCTCTGTGTCTCTCTCTCTCTCTCACACACACACGAAAAGGTAACCGTAGGTTTTATTACTGTCTTTCCATCTATCAATCTATCCATAAGAGAGGTGCTCAGCTGCTTTGCTTCCAAAGCAAAAAGAGAATCTTTTTTCTTATTTGCAAATGATACTACGTGGGCACATTATCATCTGGCTGTTGGATCATAGTGGTCTCTCTTCTTTCTTTTTTCTTTTTCTTTACTGAAATATTACTATAGGGTCGCACTCAACAAATGATAGCTACTTAACATTTTCCTTTTCTTAATATCATCACTTAACCACATGGTACTTTTAATTTGACCAACATGAATCCATCAACATCAGAGAGAGAGAGAGAGAGAGAGATGATATTGACTAGATTCCATTATCATTCACTAGTGGACATGGACATACGTACTCTTATCTTGTGTTGTGAGAAGTAATATGAATTTGTCACTTACAGAACCTAGTCCCACTGAGAGTAGATATCTGTTAGCCCGCGACACTGTAACATGCACGCATATACTAGCAGCTAATTTCTCTACATTCTCTGCCAAAGCCATTTGGTACGAGATGATTGTTGAACTCACGAGGTCACTTGTCTTCTTCAACGTCGTATGATCCTAATTGCGAAGTCTGTGACTCTGTGTACGATTCTTTTACTTGGTTCAGGACGTGAAGAAGCTCTGTCGTCCATGGATATGGTGCCCACGACCCATGGCCCACTCTTCTCTCTGCTCTACTCAGACGTCAGACCCAAACTCACTCACCATTTAGTGGCCCCAGCGTAGTCTAGGAAACAAACGATCTTCTCTGTTGAAGGCAGGCTGTGTGATGATGTGATGAGTTGATTGGTTCGACTAGCTAGTTTCTGTTTGGGTGTCCGAATCTGAAATCCCCTTGCATCCATCTGCTGTTCAACATAAATCATACCCAAGTCAAAAGGAGTGCTACTTCAGTTCTGTCATCTGTGCCACTGAAATTATTCATCAGATGCAGCCATACGTGAAAGAAATTAATGGCTCCAGTATATAGTAGAAAGAGTATATACTTAGAAGTCAGTACATAGTAATTACTGCCATAACCAAACACCCTTTGACTTAAGGATTAGTGTGTTCTCTGCAACCCTAAATCTTGATTGAGAATGAGATAGGGCAGTTTTTGCTTTCCAGAAGTGGCATATGTTGAGGCTGTTTTACCTGCAAAAACCCTATCCCAGGTTGGTCTTTACAGATCAACCTAACCAGAGTTAGCAAAGAAAAAAACAAAGTGAAGGAAAAAGGATCCAAGGGAATATACAAAAGACTATCACCTTATTCCCACATAGGATGCCACGACAAATGGGAGCCTTCCACATGTCAAATTAATAAAAAATAATTATATTAAAAAGGCATTTATTCTCCAATTGTTGAGCACAAGCACGTGTACTAGATCCAGAGCCACTCCCTTTTTTTAATGGACAATCTCTTTGGACAAGATTTTGAGTTTAATTAAATGGGCATCTGCACTCATCTGCTGCCCCTGGAGTGCACCATTACGGTCATATTGTGTCCATATTATAATAGGGTTACTATAATTAACTATTTAATAGCTTGAATGGGGGAAAATGGCCTTCAAAAACCTAATTTGCTATTTCTTCTTTATCATAGAATGCTGATTTTACTCGATTCTTAATTAAACAACTAAGAAGTGATATAAAAGTATATTTTTTCTTTAACATTCAATGATGCCCGATAGCTGAGATGATGGTCACTCGGCGTCCCTCCAAACATGGAATTCACATTTCTCCATTATAAGTACAGTAGATGTTCCAAATGCACGCCGAGATATACATGTGAGGCACCCTTTGTGGGGTGTCCATGTGATCTGCCGAACTAAAGGCACAGGATCAAGTCTATATAATGGCAGGCTTTCCGGGGTAAGTAGACCTCATATGCACCCTGCTTTGCGCCCATCCCCTTAATACAGTGTAGTATGTAATACCCAGAAGATGAAAATAGAAACCAAAATGGAATAAAGGTAACAGTAGAATCTCAAATGAACCGTGTATTTGTTCTTTTATGGGAAGCTGATGGAGTAGGGGACAGGTTCACCCTCGGAATTAGAAAATACTTTTGAAGCTTGTTTGGATTACAATAAATACATTATCTAACAATCCAAGATAAAAAAACAACCACAGAAACAAACATACCCTCGGTGACAACATTTTGCTTTTCCCTAAACCCTATACTCCTCACTGTTTCTAGCCTTTTAACTTGCTAGAGAAGGTTTATTAGAGTAACAATAACAAATTATTTATACAAAGTTACAGACAGAGAGAGAGAGAGAGGTTATAGGACTTTCCCTACTAGAAGTTCAGTAGACTCATGTGGGGGTTTGTAAAAGAATCTCATAAATCTTGAAAGTAGAAACCCTTGAGGGTGTTGGGGAAGGAGAGAATATTCTTGGGCCACCAAAGTTCAACAGCAAAACTCCAAAAATTAAATCATAAAAAATTAACAAAGCAAAAACATCATTAGATTATGATTAAGGTTATTAGGAAAAGTCAGCCCACAAGGGGACGCCTGCTCACACTTCTAAAAATTCACTGCCTTTGTCAGTTCGCTGTCTTTTAACATCTTCCCTTCTTTGTCATTAACACTATTATTAATCAAATTACATTCAATATTATTTACTCTTATCTTAATATAATACAATATAGTAGTAGTAGTAGAAGTTTGATTTTCCAACAAGTTTTATTTGGAGAAAACTGCCTAAATGGAAAGTTTATTGAATTTTATTAGTGGGGTTGATTTTATTATTTAAATTGGATAAGTTTATTTTAAAAAGGCTGTCAAGTGGGATCACAAATCTAGTCAATGTGAGGTGGAGAGCTTCATGGTCATATGGACGACTATTCCCTTTTTTGTTTGTGCACATTCAAGCCGTTTCCTTCTAATTGTAGTTTTCTCACAGTTCATGACCACGTGCATGGCCCGCACGGAGTTTTTGAATCCATGAAAATTTTTATTTTTTTTTTTTTATACATCCTCTTATTCTTACTCATTAATGGTAGTACTCAGAATTTGCTTTTTTGCTTTCTTTTAAGACTCGGTTTTATATATAGTATAAATACATACAAAATATAAGGTTTTGCGTTCTACATATTTGTATTTATACTCCTTCCAAACTGAGCCTAACTTACATATTTGTTTGAGGGTGGATTCCATGCGCCCCATTCATGTGATCAGATGTTGTAAGCATTGATCAATTGTATTATAACTCATTTGGGAGGGGGAGGGCTTCTGCGTTGATTGAGCTGCATTGATAGGTGACGGGATCTGCTTATTACAGTGACTTCACAGCCACATTCCACCGTATATTAGGAATATTTCCCATGAATAATAATGTACAAGTATGGAAGATGTTCCCATTATGCAGTTGGAACATGTGAGATTAGTGTGAGGAGTGCTCTGTGAGGAACAGATTTTTAAGATAACTTCATCGAAAAGTAGATTTTATGACTTATATGTTTTTGATTTTCTGGATTTTTAACCAAACATGACTTAATGGTATTTTGGTAAGTGCCCTACCAAACGGGCACTTAACGGTATGTAGGTACGTGTGTAGCTTTAAGAAAAGCAGAGATGATGATACAAAGCTACAGTTGACGAGGGGGACGACGACAACGTATCTTTCTTGGTAAATGGCTAAATGCTTCTCGCTTTCATTTTGACCTGGGAGACATTAAAAAGATGTTGCTTTTGTGAAATGTGAGGAACCAAAAGAAAAGAAAAGGTGTGGAATGGGATTAATTAAGCAAGTAATTAAGGTGTCCCAAATCTAGGCAAGAAAAAAAATTATAGTTAGCGCATTTTCTTTTCCTCTTTTCGCCCCCTTCCCTCCTCTCGCTCTCTTGCAATACAAAATATTGCACGTTATGAGCTGTAGGGTTATCGATTGGACCAAAATCAAGTGTTGGGGGAGCTCAATTTGTTCAGACTTGGGCATAATTAACTTCATATATAATATAGTAGTGCGACCTGATTTATCCCTTCATGATCAGGATTCAGGATATATAAGCCTGTATTATTTGGTTTAATAAAGTACTAATGCTCAAGGGGTCCGGATTTCATATACTAACTTAATTCTCCTGTCAAGGGGATGACGGTTCAGTGCAGGGTCAGAATTTTTAAGCCTAAAATACAGTTGGGGAAGGTATTAGTTTGGTATTGATGCCAATTTGTAGGCGGGCGTTGATGTATAGAGTGAAGGCATTTAACATTTTAAATGTTTATAGGTCTGCATTAGAATTCAGAAATCTGCATTTGGTCTGTTCTTATTTTTCTGCCCAATTTTTGAATATCCTATACGTGTGTTTTAAGGAGATCAATTTTTTTACTGAAACTGAAATTAAAAAAATAAAAAATAAACTACACCCCTGCAGCAAGGTTTAAAGTATCGACACGTATCAGCCTGTATCGATTGATACGTATCGTTCTAGGACCCCTCCGATATGCCCCTACAGTGAGTATATCAGGGGACTAACCGGTTCAAGGTGTGGAGAAGGCCTAAACCGACTCCCATGAACCAGTTGCAAAAAAAATAAAAAAACGAACACCAAAAGCTGTATCAATTCGCCCGATATGCCTATAACAGTTAATCGGACATATCGATATTTTAAACCTTGCCCTTCCAATTGATAGACAAAAATGTATTGATTCTTTAAACCATGGTTATAACTGGATCAAACTGTAATGCACTGTAATTTAAGGCTTACGTGCTAGTTTGAGAGAGTGAGAGAGGTGTACACGGCTGGGTACACTCTACAGTAAGAATTGGTTATACGTGGGAAGGTGAAAGCATATGTCGGTACTGTTAAGGTTTGAAAAGGAAGTGTGTTCGGATTGTTGTTCAATTAAGGATATTTAGTTTCGGTTATGGGATTGCTGGCAACTCCCGATATATCAATAAGAACTAATGGTGAAATGAAAGAGAGTTAAGAGTTTGGTGAAAAAACAAATGGGAAGTCTGAAGGCAAACAAATTATGGGATAATCATTCCAAATAGGAAAAGCATGAATATTAGCTTTCTCCGGATCTCATCATATGTGTCATCATGCACCTTTGGGTTTTGGACACCCCCTCTCCCTCTCTCTTCACCCCTCCAACTTTACTTTATCTTTTAACCGCATTCATTGAATATTATTTTTCTATTCAGACTTCAGAGAGAGAGAGAGACTTCCATTTATCATCAGCTTATGCAATTGAGTCAATAGGAAAGAAGATTGAGAATTTGAGATGTTAGAGAAGATGGCAGGAGAAGAAATCACAAGTAGTGCTACCACCCAGGACACAGTTGTTGGATCCAATCCGCCGCCCGTCGTCAAGAAGAAGAGAAATTTACCAGGAAACCCAGGCAATAATCTTCTCTCTTCATCAAAAACTAGTAGCTTCTGTAATTATTTTCTGTACATGTAAAATTTGGTGATTATTGTGTGTATATTCATAGATCGATCATATCTTCATCATTCTTTTTTTTTTTTTTTGTGACTGATGATGATGATTCCATTTGACAAATATGGGTGCTAAACAGATCCTGATGCCGAGGTCATCGCCCTCTCGCCGAAGACTCTAATGGCAACAAACAGATTCTTGTGTGAAATATGTGGGAAGGGGTTCCAAAGAGATCAGAACCTTCAACTTCATCGGCGAGGGCATAACCTTCCATGGAAGCTTAAGCAAAGGACGAGCAAGGAACCGAGGAAGCGTGTGTATGTCTGCCCAGAGAAAACCTGTGTTCACCACCACCCTTCCAGGGCTCTTGGAGACCTTACTGGTATAAAGAAGCACTTCTGTCGAAAACACGGAGAGAAGAAGTGGAAATGCGAGAAGTGCTCAAAGCGGTATGCTGTGCAGTCAGATTGGAAAGCTCATTCAAAGACCTGTGGCACCAGGGAGTACAGATGTGATTGCGGCACTCTTTTCTCACGGTAATTAATTGAGGCTTTTGTTTTCTTATCACTACACCGATCACCGATGATGGGAATTATTCTTGACGCATAAGTAGTTTATATGATACCAGAGAAGAAAATTTAGGCTACAGTGGTTAACTATGAAGCTTGGAATTATTTTTTTCTGTGTCATCTGCTGTGGAAGAGACACAGGACTCTCTCTCTCTCTCTCTCTCTCCATCTGGCTTTTAGGAGGAAAAAGAAAGGGTACATAGTGAAGACAAATAATTTGTTAGAAAGACATATTGTTGATTTCCATCAATTGAGATGTCTTCTAACGTTAGGAGCTCTCTATCTCTTGATTGTTAGGATTCTAACGTGTTCCTTTATGATTATCATTCATAATGTTGTTCGTTATTCCCCTTTATGGTGGACACGCTGCTGGGAACAAACCCACACTCTCATGGTTCCGTTGCAGATGTCAGCCACTTGGGCTACGAGATGGAACCAAAGTAATGTCTAAGTAGCTGTAAATTTGATCTTCTTCTTGCTGCAATCATGTATCTTCCTTTTCTTTTTGTTCACTAGTACATTTTCTCTCGATGTGTTGGATATGAATTATTGTCTAGACGTTTTCTGTGAACAGGCGAGATAGCTTCATCACTCACAGGGCCTTCTGCGACGCCTTGGCGGAAGAAACAGCCAGAATTACGGCAGCTTCTAACATCCACAATGTAACTGCGGGCAACATCAACTATCATTTTCTGGGGACTTCATCAGCACGACCCAACATGGTGCAACATTTCTCTCCTGTGTTCAAGCCGATCCAAAGTAGTAACGATGGAGCAATCGATCAGAGCAGACCAGGACTCTCTCTGTGGATGAACCAAGGATCCCAGTCTAGCCAAGCATTAATGAACAACAATCTCCCAGAACTACATCAAATTGGCTCTGCCGGTTTAGGAACGTTGTTTGCTACTGACCCATTAATCTCTTCCTGCTCAAATATTCCTTCACAAATGGACTATCCAGTAAATTGGGATTTCGGCAACAAGCTCTCATCCACCAATACTGGAGAGCTGACAAGCACCTCGCTACCATTAACCAACCTTAAGGAAGTTGGTAGCCCTCGGTTTTCAAGTGCTCCTTCCCTTTATAGCACCCAACACCACCACAACCAGCTGCCTCCACCAATCATGTCGGCCACGGCTTTACTACAAAAAGCTGCTGCAATTGGCTCTACTTGGAACGAACCATCTTTTCTTGAGAGTTTTGGAGTGAAGTGCAACAACAGCCAAGTAGTTCAAGATGGAAACAAATATAATGGTTTGTTTGCTCCAAACTCGGTACCTACAAATCTCACAACTGATTTAGAGAACTCGGCAAGTGATCTCTCCTCCATGAATAACCAGTTGCAGATGTACCCCAGGAAGCGCCAGAATACTCAGAAGGATGACACAGAAGGAGGGCAAACAAGGGATTTCTTAGGGGTTGGTGTTCATCAGACCATCTGCCCATCAACAATTAATGGATGGATTTGATTAGGTGGAGGTGTCATGAACTACATATATCTCAGTGAAAATCATAGTTAATAATAAAGTGCGTTTCGAGGAGGGGGAGGGATTAAATTATTTGGGACCTTTGCAGATAGAAAAAAAGGTGGAATGAGTGCTTGATGGGGGCTAAAAGATGTGTCTAGAAAATAATTCAAGAGCTGGAGGATGAGGAGATAGCTAGTCCATGAATATTCTGTTGGAACCTCAAAGCTGCTCCTTTACAAATGGTCCCTTTTATTTTGAGAAAAGGGGGTTAGTAGTGGAGGCAAAGAAAGAAACCCCTTTTTAACTCCATTATTGCAGTAGTGTTTCATGCATCTCTCTCCATGATTGCAGTGTTCCCAAACTGGAAATTTGGAATATTTCAGTGGTGCAAAGCTAGAATTGAGTTCATAGCTAGGCTTAGTTAACCTATCTAGCCATTCCTTGCACATAACCATGCATATTTTGTATAATAGAACATAGAGAGGTCCTTGTGTGTGTAGATAAACCACTGTCATACTAGATGGAAATGACACACAAAACTCTTTGATATATGATAAGATTATTATATGCATGACTTGGTTACTTATTTATATACGACCCACTTACTTTTAGATGCTTTATATATATGTATGTGTGTGTTTCTCATTCTTTCTACTTATCTTCTGTTTAGATTTCCATTGGTATTCAACAAGGAAAACATCCTTGCCTTGGAATTGAGCCCTAGCTAACAAAGTGAATTTCATTTCTGTTCTTGCTCATCCAATTGCACCAACCAGAAGAGAAAACAAGGAAAAGGAAAAGAATATGCGGATGATGAGTGCTTACTCAGTGTCATTTCAAGGGTAGGCTGGAGGTATTTATGGGACATATATGTGTCAAAAAATTTACTAAGTGCTTATTCAGTATGCTCAGCGAGTGTGCCAACCTGATCCGGACTCGACAAGAGAGCCATGGTTTCCGAATTATTTTCGGAGCTAGGGTTGCGACTTGCCGTGGGTAGTTTATATTTACTCCTTCAAGTGTCCTTCCGAGCATTCTACTGAATAAGCAGTTGTCCCTCGTATTATTTTTCCTCCTTAAGCCCTTCAATGTGAACTTGCAACTGCAACGGTAGATACCTGTTTGATTTCCACCAAAAAGATGACATTATGTTGTTAATTGGTGGTATATATATAAAGGGCCTCTAGTGTGGCGTTTGGACCAGCAACTTCATGTATTGTTGACAAATGAACTTTTGGAGCTCTGAAAGCTTTCAGCACAAAATCAGTTTGGTAACAGCATGGAGGACATCTTTGAAAAAACCAAAAGTGTTTCTCGTGTATTTGTACCCTCAGACATACACATATAGTCACACGTGTACACAAAAACACACACACGAGAGAGAGGGAGAGAGAGAGATAGATTCTATAAATCTTTTTTGTTTTCACTTTAAGAAAATAATAATATAATGTTTTCATAATTTTTCACATCTGATACAGTGACACCCAAGGGGGTGTTTAACAGTATGGTTGATTTTTTTTTTTTTTTTGATAACAAAAATAACTGTTACACAGCAAAATTATATTGTTTTTGCTGATGTGGCAGTTGTTTTTATTTTCAAAAAATAAAACCAACCATATTATCAAACGCCCCCTAACACTCGTGGTAAAAAACAAGATCCTTAGTTATATACCATAAAATAGTTTATAACATGGTTGGTTTTATTTTTGAAAACAACAATAACTGTTATGTCATAAAAAAATATACAAATTTGATGATGTTGCATTTGTTTTTATTTTGAAAAACAAAATCAACCTTGTTGTCGAACACTTCCTTAGTTACTTGTAAACCTTGAATTTTTATTGGAGTTCAACTATAATACCGAAAAGACATGATAAGGAAAAAACTTACAGCCGATCAACCGGTATCTTAAAAGAAGTAACCAATTAGGTGATATTCATCAAAATTCATGGAGATACTTTTATTGGTCAAAGCTCTTCCAGTACCATGTCTTTACAGATATGGACAAGAAGAGGAAATAATGGGTTAAGGAATATGGACAAGAAGAGGAAAATAGCTAAGGAAAATGAAAACAAGCCATGGATATCCACCAACATGTATGACAATCTAAGCAAGCTGGTTTTAAGGGTGAGAAAGGAGCACGAGCAGTGGATAGCTAGTACGTAGGGATAAGAAATGGAGAACAAAGGAACAAAATACTCTTTCTCTGCCTTGAATTCTTTTTAATGGAAAAAAAGAGGAATTGTGTGCAAATGCATGCTTAATCCTTCTATTTTCTTTTTCTTATTTTTTGTTATTTCACATAAAGCTGAATTCTTTCTTTTTTTTTTTAGACAGAGAAATGACCTGAATTGGATTTTCTTGTTTCATTTTAATGAAAAAAAAAGGATGGGGGAAGAGGAATATTGCATGGAAGAGGCAAACATGGTCATGTCAACCTCTTTTATATCCCTTTTTAATTTCACATATAATTGAAGGTTAACTTATTGCTTTGCCAGAATGGGCATCACTCACAACTGAAGGAATTCTTTTGTTCTTCAATTTTTTAAATAAGAAATAATTTTGCACATTACATGCATGCATAGAAGGGCTTGGTTTTTACATATATCATACCAAGTACACGACTCTCATAGCCTCAATTTCGGTTACATTATATATCTCTCATAACTCATTCCATTCGCTCGATTTGGCTAGGTGAAAGAAGATAAGGGCTTTTAAACCCAAAAAAAAAAAAAAAGGTTTAAGTGGGTGGGTTAGTTAGGACCCATATATGCATTAAATGGGTACTAATTAATGAATTCGGATTAGCTGAATGCTTTAACTGTTCAGCAAGAGTTGGAGAGGCTCAGGTTAGCAATTTGTTAAAATTTGAATTGACCCGAGTCAGGGCAGTGTAAATTACTAAATTCTTAATAAAATGGGTGCCCAACTTCCACCTATAGTAACTAACGAGTTGTGGGTGAATCACCCCCAATCGAACTCAGATTTTCTACTCACTTTTTCTATCCATTCTCTGCCTGCTGTGAATTGCAGCCACACATCTCTCAATTCATATTAGAGATGTATGGCTGCAATTCACGGTGGGTAGACAGTGGATAGGAAAAATGAGTAGGAAATCCCGTTTACTCCCAGCCCATCCAGTTTCCACCCTTTCTCATGTCCTAATACACGGTCCTGTTAGATTCATTTTAAGAGTGTATTCATCCTTTTTTCTTTTAAGGCTGCGTTCGGTTTAAAGTGCATTGGGGGTGTAAATAGGTTGAGTATATGTTTTAGTTTACTTTTGCTTCAGACTTGACCTTACCTTGTTTGTTTGTGAGAAGTAAAACGGTGCGTTGCATCTTATGTGCAAAGGTAGGAGGAGGATTATCTGTTTGGGAGTGAATAGGAAGCAAGGCAATGTTGTCCCCCACTTTATATGAGAGAGGACTGAGATAGAAGGAAGCAGGGGCAGAGCTAGAATTTTTTTGTTAAGGGGGGCCAAAACCAAGAAAACATGGATAAGGGAGACCAAAAGCTAAGAAATATGGATAAGGGGGTCAAAATATAAGTACAATTTAAATGGGTTTTGTGGGAATTTCGAAGTCATGGGGGGTGGGGGGGAGCCACCCCCTGGCTTCGCCCCTGGAAGGAAGGTAATGCAATGATGAGGGGTAATTTGGCCCGACCTGTTGGCACGCAAACACGTGGATCAACCTGATGACAACTCAGCATTCCTTGCCACCTCAGCAGGCTAGTCCAGGTCAGCTCGGGTACCTCAAGCATCTCGGCCAAGACTAAGGTCCGAGCAGCTTGTGATGGCCCAACCTGCCGAGGTGACACGTAGCCAAATTCTAGAAGCTAGCCAATTGTCTCCAATCTCTCCGGGATCATGCCACATGTCTGCAAGCATTATCCTTATCCCACCCAGATCGGACGGACTCAATAAGCCTTATTAGCTCACACAAAGTCCACCTCCAAGTGCGGAACATACTCTTAGCAGCGCGGGCTAGAGATCTCGGAGGTGTTATGTAAGACCTATGGCAGTTCGCCTATATAAGGGTTTCAACCCCAACGCTACAAGGTACGCACGATTATTTCCTCACTAGCTCTCTAGCTTACTGAATTCTTCAACTTGTAAATTCCACTCGTTAACTTAGGCATCAGAGTACCCACACCAGATAAACCACCCCGGGTTCTTTGATTATTTTTTCTTATAGTTCGACTAGCCAACTAAGTAAACCGACATCCAAACTGCCATCCAGCAGCTAGGTGCATTCAGATCATGCACCATCACGATACAAATTTAACCAAACACAGCCTAAAGATGTATGCTATAATTTTTATTCTGGTTTCTTTTTAACCCCAATTGCTTGGAGAGTTTTATGAATTGCCGTTGGATTTTGTATTTGCATAATTGCATCAGCCTCGTCCTCGTCTGCATTAATTGATGAGAATTAACCCCTTCCGTACCCATCAAAGTTGCACCTCAATCCCTTGACTTTGTTTGATTTGAAAGAAAAGTAGGAAAAGGATGGAAAAGGTTGAGAAACCTTGTACGGGTTGAATTAAAATTAGTGAAAATCTGTGAATAGGTGCAGCCCAGTGGTGAGTAAATCCTTGAAGTGAGCTAGCAGACATGCATGCAAGCCCTACCCTCATCAATAATTGTATGGTGCGAGCTTTAGACCTCTAGTGCTCTACCAGTCTATACAAAACTAACATGCATGGTCTCACGGAAATTGGAATAGGTAGAGCACACGTCCCTCGATGCAGCCAATAATCCAAACACAACCTTATACGGGAATAATTCACCTTTTTCTTTTTCGCATTTCCTAGCATGTTCTTACTCCAGACTGGACGACAGTCGTGAAGAACATCCAGATCTAGTCCTTAATTAGGTTTGTTTCATTCAACAAATAATGTGATTTATAAGAGGATTGAGAACATCATCCGAACTTACTCCACAGTAACAGCAGATATATATGGGTCTAGGGTAGTAGATTGGCTGGGCCAACAATTAATCTACGCCGTTTGATGCTTGCGTTGAAGGGTAATGGTGCATAGATTTTGTTGACCAATGTCCACGTACCCTATCTGGAGAGAACGAACTGAGCTACTACTGCAGCCCAATACAGCAATAATACTTGCCTTGTCCCTACAGTTTTTTGCCAAACAGAAAAGCAATAAGCCCTTCAATTCAGCCATATAATAAGCCCCTAAGGCTGTGTTTGATTTGAAGGAAAAAGGTAAACAAAAGAAGGGAAAGGCAGAGAAATCTATATAAAGTTTGTAATGGTTTTCCTTCCTTTTCCTACTTTTTTCTTTAAACCAAACATAGCCTACTAAAAGTGATCTCTGTTTCTTCACTACAGCTTGAACCTTAAGATGGTAGTACAACCTCACTACTTCAGACAAGAAGTAGAGAAATTTCAGCGCGAAATGAAACTCATGGACATACACATATGATCAAGCTTCTGGTGTGCCTTGCATAATGTACGTCGCCGCATCTATTTCACCCTGCTGTTCCCTTTTCCTCGCCAAATTTATCGAGCAATGTTGCTATCTTATGCCGTTATGCCTCGCATAATGTACGTCGCCCATCTATTCCACCAGAGGGGTGGAAATTTCT